CAGGATGGAATTACAGCGGAGCTTCTGAAAGCGGGTGGAAGACCGGTACTTGAAGTCCTTCAGAAGCTCTTTAATTCCGTCCTCCATGGTGGCATTACACCGGAGGCGTGGAGCAGAAGTGCGGTGGTCTTGTTCTTCAAGAAAGGTGATAACGCTCTCTTGAAGAACTACAGACCGATTTCCCTTCTGAGCCGCGTCTACGTGCTGTTTTCGAGAGTCATTACGAATCGTCTCGCGCGCAGACTTGACGACTTCCAGCCTCCCGAACAAGCCGGTTTCCGAAAGGGCTTTAGCACCATAGACCACATACATACCCTTCGGCAAATTGTACAGAAGTCCGAAGAGTACAATTTGCCACTATGTTTGGCGTATGTGGACTATGAGAAAGCCTTTGATTCCGTCGAAATTTGGGCGGTGCTGCAGTCCCTTCAGCGGTGCCAAGTTGACTGTCGGTATATCGAAGTGTTGAAGTGCTTATACAGTAGGGCTACGATGGCTATCCGAGTACAGAACCAGAGTACGAAACCTATCCAATTGCAGAGAGGTGTAAGACAGGGTGACGTCATATCCCCGAAACTCTTCACCGCTGCATTGGAAGACGTTTTCAAGCTTCTGGACTGGAAAGGATACGGTATCAACATCAATGGCGAGTACATCACTCACCTTCGATTTGCCGACGATATAGTCCTTATGGCAGAATCGCTGGAGAACCTAAGCACTATGCTCAATGACCTCGATAGTGTTTCCCAACGGATAGGTCTTAAGATGAACATGGACAAAACAAAGATCATGTTCAATGTCCATGTCACACCTATGCCGGTAGTTGTTGGGAGCACTAAGCTCGAAGTTGTTGACGAGTATGTTTACCTGGGACAAATAGTCCGACTAGGTAAGTCCAACTTCGACCGAGAGGTCAATCGACGGATTCAACTCGGCTGGGCAGCGTTCGGGAAGCTACGACACATCTTCTCGTCAGACATACCTCAAAACCTGAAAACGAAATTGTACAACCAGTGCGTGTTGCCAGTGATGACTTATGGAACTGAGACGTGGTCCTTCACTGCTGGCCGTATGAGGAAGCTCAAGGTCGCTCAGCGAGCTATGGAGAGGGCTATGCTCGGAGTTTCTCTGCGTGATAAACTTAGGAATGAGGATATCCGCAGTAGAACCAGAGTAACCGACATAGCCCAACGGATTAGTAAGCTGAAGTGGCAGTGGGCCGGCCATATAGCTCGAAGAACCGACAACCGATGGGGAAGAAAGGTTCTCGAGTGGCAGCCTCGTACCGGTAGGCGAAGTGTAGGGCGTCCCCCCACGAGATGGAGTGACGACCTGGTAAGACATGCAGGAAGTCGATGGATGCAGGTGGCTCAGGACCGTGCTTTGTGGCATTATTTGGGGGAGGCCTATGTTCAGCAGTGGACTTGTGAAGGGCTGTAATGATGATGATGAATGATATTCACAACATTATAACTTATGCTCGAAAAACTCGGAGAATGGTTAAAATATAACCTACTAACAATTAATACCTCAAAAACATCATTTATGATTTTTTCCACAAAGAATAAACCTTTACCAGAGTTTGCACATCTTACTATTGATAATAAAATAATAAAACGTTCAAGTCAGGAAAAATATCTAGGCCTGTTGGTAGATGACAAACTCATTTGGAGACTGCATATTAATCATGTCAAATCAAAACTGATGTCATTATTAGGTGCATTACGTAAAGTCGCAAACTGTATTCCGAAAAAGGCACGTACAATTATATACAACTCTTTAGTTAAATCGCATATCGAATATCTAATTGAGATATGGGGATCAGCCGCTAAAACTAATCTAGACCCACTTCAAAGAACCCAAAATAAAATTATTAAAGCATTATTTCACTACCATTATCTAACTCCAACAAAAGTACTATATGAAAAAACTAACTTACTAAATCTTACACAACTTTATACCTATTACACTTGCAACCTAATAAAAAATATAACCACTAATTCTATTAAATCAAACCTACAGTTACATAAAAAAACAACAACACACAACTTAAGAAGTAAAAATAAACTCCAACTAATGACAGCACGAACTAATTATGGCAAAAAAAACCTATTGTTTGAGGGAGCACAGCTGTTCAATAAATTACCAGATGACATCAAAAACTGCAACAGCATGAAATTGTTTAAAAGTAAACTTAGGAAATACGTACGCACATTGTAATCTTTTTAACACATGGTACCTAATATGTATAAGTGCATAACCTAAGACTATACCGCTTCCAGCACTAGAGGTAGATGTGATAATATTATCAAATTATAATAATTACTTTGTATCTCATTATAAGTGAACCATTGTATGTTCTTATGAGAAATAAAATTCTTTAAACCGAAATTTGTAGATTTTTCGCACTTCTGGTAACATTTTCAAAGTAAACGTCAAACAAAGTTTGAACGCCTATCTGCCAATTTGAAGTAATTCGTTACGAAACGCGGTGGTGATTGTGTGTGATAAAATTTTGTTCCATTACAAATTCGTTTTTTCTCAGGTAAGAAGGTTGCTACGTTTTGTTTTTTCCTTATTTTCTTTCAAAACAGTATAATGTTAATAATTTGTAACATAAATGTCTTATATTCATTACTTTTTACTTAAAAATGATTGATTTCAAGCTAACTTTTCGTAACATCAATTACGTAACGTTACATATTAGCGGGACTAATTTTGTTACGTAACGGAATTATAAGGGCATGTCTAGCTTTGAATTAGAGTAGGTAGTTTGTCTGAATATGTCTGCAGCTACAAATTATTTTTTTTCATCTTTCAGATACTTTTAAAAGTTATCTTTGCAAAACCTACCTACAAAACAGAATGCCTCTCACTGGGGTCGAATGAGCAAAACGATTCCGAGAAAATATAAAAAAAAAGATTTTTTATAGGATAAGGGTGACAAATGATGGTAAGTGGTTGCTGCGGCCCATATACATCTACATCTATCCTCTGTTACAAATCAAAATGTAGATGCGTTGTCACCCGTGAGGACTAAGATGGAATGCCTCATTTCCAGTAAAAAGGGCCTCCGGTCACCTGCACTCACCAAGCGAAACGCAGAGGTAAACCTCTACTTCACGCTGGTTTTCTGTGAGGTCGTGGTACAACCCCGGTTCGAGCCGGCCCATCCGTGCGACAGCAAAAGCTGCCGCGTGGCTCCACCACAGTTAAAGCTTCTTAGCAAATATGTATCAGGCGGATTCTTACGTTGCGATGCGACTCGGCCCGCCTAATGGACGCTTAACTTAAGATTGTGTCTTGAATAAAATAAATATTCAGTTGTTGTAATATCGTTATTCTCTTGTTTCCTTACCCTGGGTATTCAATAACAAAATAAAGAATAAAATGTATGCAATATTAAAAACTTACATCAAAATTATACCAGGTCCCACAGTGCACAAAGAAAATGAAACTATGATAAAATACTTCAAGGTGTCTACAAAAATTTAATTACATATTATGAACACTTTTTCTCACGCTATTTTAAATATTCCATAACTATATTACTTGTATTGAATTTTTTATTGTAATATAACTACATTTTTATAATATTAAACATTAGATAATGACAATAATTTATATGCATGGAATATGGTTACAAACTGATGCGAATAAAATACAAATTAAGTTCTGAGTCATATTTCGCCAAAATGGCATGCAAACATTACAAAATGGCATACAAACATTACAAAAGTGTTGAACTTCTTTGTTTGAAGTTGTTTGCAAAGTGATGTCCATGGTACAGTAACCATTTACCACTGTAATAGTCGTTCTAATATTAAAAAAAGACTTAGTTTTAATGTGCTTAGATAAAGAAAAGTATCAAGTTTACAAGAAAAAAGAATTAGAACGAGTAAAATAAATGTCAACAAAGAATAAATGAGCTCAGCGAAGAAGAAAAACAGAAAAAAGAAGACCGTGGAGAAATCAAAATAGAAATCAAAACAGCAAAAAAGAAAAGAAAGTATCTCCTGAAGAAAGAAAATAAGAAAGTAAGACTTCTGAACCAAGAAACATTAAAATTTGTAATCGTTTGAAGAAGATAATATTTTTTCGCGATCGATCAATGCGATGCAATCGAAAAAATATGAAGAAAGATTTTACTTATTAGTAGAATCTTTTGGATTTTTAATTTTATACTAAGACGTAACCCTTAAAATATTATTAATATTAAAAGAACTTTAAGTATTGTTTCTTTATTGTTTTGTTTTTTTTTTAAATATTTTTAGCTATTTGATGACTCAAATAGCTAAAAATATTTCAGGGTGTGAATTATTTTACAGACTTGAATATCTTTTTAATTTTATGAGTCACTAATCTAAAGAACAAAAATTATAGTAATTAAGTATTATTTAGTACTTATAGAAAAATGGTGTACTTATGGAAAAACCCTGAGCAGTTCCTTTTCGTAACACATTATTCCATTAACGTAACTGTCCCACAGTTATTAGTTTTAATTTTTACGTTTATCTTACAAATATTGTTGATTTGAGTGCTTTTGAAAGTTTCATAGTGTTGTGTGTAGATTTTTTTAAATATTATTAAAACATTCTTAATATTTTTTACATTATCGGACAATTTATTAAACTTACAACCGAAATATCCACATTTAAGTCCATTACGATTTATGAAAAATATTAGGTTCCTCTTACGTAACGCGTCATTTTATTTGAAATCCGCTCATTTAATACCTAGTACCTAGACCTGTTCTAGTATATACGGTACATCTCTAGTACCATAGATTATAAGATTACTATATATCTCTAGTACCTACCACAGAGTACTTTTATATATACAGTACCTAAGGGTATTAGTGTTCTGTGCCTGAGTACCTACGTACGTCTATTTGGAATGTTTTGAGAAATTCTTATTTTCTCTAATTTTGTTAACATAAATTATCTTTGCATTTGTATTAACGACCTCGTAAGTCATTGTTTCATATTTATAATCAGACAATGGCTATAACTGTCGATAAAATTTTCAATGCACACAGGTAAGATCAGTGTTTATATTTTGGGGAAAGTTAATCGAGAAGTTTTGCTCCATGTAATATTTTACTTCTTTTAGGTTTAGTTTAACGTAGTTTTCTTAATATTTCAGATTCTCCGGTGATAATGCCTTGCAGTTTCTTTTTTATTTGCCACTTGGAATCCTCTTGATGGCTGTAAGAATTATACTTGCACTAATACTGTGGATTGCATCCATTATTCTCCCAGACAAATCCGGTGTGCGACAAATGTTGTCGACGCTCGCTTGTTGGACATTTGGTAAGAATCCTAAAATGATAGTTAAAAGTTCATATTTCAAAAATTAAAATTATTCACTCATGTAAATTACATAATAATAATATAATTAATTAAACAAAAATTGGTTATTTGGGCATAATAATTCCCCTGAACCTACCCTCATATGCAAGTACCAGGTATCTATAAGTTTTTGCCCATAATGCTAAATTATAGTGTTATAAATTATGTTTTGCTTAATTTAGCAGTCTTGAATAAAAAAGGGTAATCTTTTACTATAAGAGGGTAATTTTTTTATTTCGCTTCAAAAGGTTTGTTGATAGGTGTTTGTGAATGATGTCAAACCACAATAATCAGTAAAGGTAAATGCTAGCAATACGGAGCAGACAAAATGACATGCAGTTGACTGAAGCTGGAGGGATGGTCTTCAGAAATCCTGTGCACTTATAATTTAAAAGCATAAAAGATATTTATTTTTGATGTATAAATTTTTCATTTTTAGGTGTTTTTGTGAAGTTGAAGGGAAACAGAGATCCTCGTTGCAGTGTTTTGGTGTCTAACTGTGTATCTTGCTTGGATTCACTTGCAGCTGCACATGTTCTTGGAACTATTAGTGTAAGTAATAAATCTTCTATACGTGGTAGAGCCACACTGGAGCTATATTAGTTGTAGCATGAATGGGTAGTCTAGACTGGGGTAGGATAACACATTAGAATACTAGTGTAAAATAGCAGCTTAAGGCTCCTGTGTTTTGTATGGTAAGTGTAGAGAACCAGAGACCCTTTTTATTGGGAACAAGCCATTCCATCTTAGTCCTTAGGGGTGACAAAGCATCTGCGTTTTGATTCTTAGTCGAGGGTAGATGTCTATGGCCACAGTATAAATTTAACATCAGATGGACTGTGTGCTTTGTCACACTTATGCTATAAAAAAATCTATATATACTTCTAGCATGTGAAGTCCACTGATGAACATGAGCCTCTCAATGATGGGAGCATTAACCTTTCTAAGAAAATTTTATTCATCATGTTAATATCAAAATGCTTACTTGCTTGGTAGGTGAATTAGAGATCTCAGTATCACAAATTTTGCAACAGATTGTAGAAACAAAAAACATTTTGTACTTGCATCACTGCTTCCTATTGCCAGTCTGAGGTCCTTACTTTTCTGGTATATATATTATGATGCTATACTGATATCCGCCAGGGCCCTTTGATTAGGTTATTAAATTATCTTTGTGACTAAGTAAAACTGTTGTGTTTTCAGCAATAGGAGTCGTCCATAAAATATAGTGCATTAAATAAGTTTCTGTATTAACTATTTCATTCAGGCATTCTCATACCCACAATAGTCCTTTAAATGATGAGGCTACCTAATGGTATGGTATGGTATGGTAATGGTATGATATAAACTTACATCGATTAGATGATTTGTCTTAAGAGTTCTTGTTTTAGGTTTTTAATTTGCCATGAAGTGGCAATGTAAGAAAATCTATAAAAGATACTCCCTAATAGTTCTGTGGGTGTCGTAAGAGGCGACACTGATAAAAACTCAAAATAATAAAAAGCTATAGTTGCTAATGCACCTGCCATGCGTGGCAACTATGGTAAATATCCCTCCTATGAGGCAATCTACGTGGAAGGTGAATGTTTGAATGAATGTTTTTTTGAAATAAATTTACAATGTGTATTTGCCAAAATAATGTTCACTTCTATATTTTTTTATTTTAGCTAAGAAAATGGAAGCTGCCACCATTTTTTGCATCTACTCTGGGTATTAGAAATGCGGCGCAATTTATTAGAAAGTAAGTTCTTTCCATTTTTTTTTCAATATTTATTAATATGATAAAAGCTATTAAAAACAAATTTAATGTTGCTATTTATTTAATAAATTGCAGGCAACACTTTTCTGACAGTCCCAGCAAACCAATATTGCTGCAGCCCGAAGGAGGCCCCACTAATGGCAAGGCATTACTAAAGTTTACAGACTGGCCTTTCCCTATTGGTAACAGAGTTCAGCCTGTTGCTATAAGTAAGTGAAAGAAATACTTCATAGGATAAGCAACACATAGCATTATCTCAAATTTTTGAGACTCCTGTCTAATGTCAGTCTGTTTCAATTTGCCACTAGGGGCACCTATTTTTTTTATAGGATGAGGGTGACAAACACACACACAGTCCACCTGATGGTATGTGGATACTATGGCTCAGACATATGCACATTATCCTCAATTAGGAATCAAAATGCAGATTCATTGTCACCCCTGAGGACTAAGATGTCACATTTTCAGTAAAAAGGGTCTCTGGTTCTCTACACTCACGATATGAAATGTTAAGCTGCTATTTTACTCTGGTATTCTGTGAGTGCGTAGTCCTACACCCATCCAGCCGACCCATTCGTGCTACAAGAATAATATAGCTGCAGCATGGCTCTACCACATATAACCATAAAATACCCAAATAAATAACCCATACGTATGCAAAATTGTCTGTAATTGCCTGAGAAGCAGGCAAAGATCATGTAGACTGAGGTCTAAACAAATGTGACGTCACATAATGTTACTTATGAATTAGAAACTTATAAAAACTGAAAAATACAAAAGTCAATTACAAACTAGACTTCAGTGGGTTATTATCATCTTAATGTTATATACAATATCAGATGTCAGGTCAGAATCATGAGTGAAATTTCAGATTAGGGACATCTGTGATGCTTGCTGAAACAATGTCATACCAGGCTAGACATCAGATTTCTTGCGACTTTCTTCCTCATTGCACGGCATGGGACTCTCCTAGGGATTGCCTTATAGGGAGAATTTTCCATAGTTGTCACGCTTGGCAGGCGGGTTGCTAACCGCAGTTTTTTACTATTTTAGTTTAGTTTAGTTTACGACGGGCTGTTATCTGCAACTCCACGTTTATGCGCGTATTTTGCGTGTGGGCAGGAATAATATGATTATTCGAGCCATGAGATCTCCCCGAAGAAGCTCAACAGTCCTTTGATGTTGCATGCAACTTTGGGGAGTGATCCCGGCGTGCCGAGATGTTTAGCCCTGTACGTAGCGAACGCCGGACATTTCAGTAGCACGTGGGCCGCCGTTTCTTCCTCCCCCATACATGCCCTGCACAGGGGACTATCTGTAACACCTATAGTAAATAAATGTTTGTTAAAGGTGCAGTGTCCTGTGATAGCACTTGTTACTATCCTGATCTGCGGCTTGTTTAGTCTCATTAGAACTTTGGTTAAACGACTTTATTTCAACCAGGGCCTCCCTAGCTTGTCTACAGTCTACTAGATTTTTCCAAAGCTGAGCGTGTTGATTAGTGAAGTGTCTATGTACCTGTGAGCGAACGTTACCAAAAGGGATTGGTATGATTGGTTCCGGCCCTATAGTGGTCAGAGCCGATCCTCTTCTGGCCATTTCGTACTCTGCATTGTTGCCTCTGGATCCACTGTGTCCCTTTATCCATTGCAGTCACATTGTTGTTTTTACATACCTCATTTAATCGTTGATGGCATTCATATATTAGTCCCGAGTCCACAACATTGCAACTCGGAGCTTGTATAAACTAAACTAGTAACAGTAAGGCGGTACTATTTTAGTTGTCATCAGGAAGATGCTGCTTAAGTTTCGCTCTGTCGCCTCTTACGACACCCACGGAACGATATTTGGTAGTATTGGATATTCTTATACTTGATGCTACAAGGTTAATCGGAGATTGATTTACTTTGACAATAGCAGTACCAGACGTCTCTTACATTTGTGTGTGTGTGTGTGTGTGTGTGTGCTTGCGTGCGTGCGTGCATGCGTGCGTGCATTTTACTTCCTCCGTCCACCCAGCTATATTATCTTTATATATAAAAATTACGTGTCACGTTGTTTGTCCGCGATGGACTCCTAAACTACTGAACAGATTTAAATGAAATTTTGCACACTGTGTTTTTTTTTTTTTTTTTATAGGAGAGGGGGCAAACGAGCATGCGGCTCACCTGATGGTAAGTGACTACCGCCGCCCATGAACAACTGCAACACCAGGGGAATCGCAGATGCGTTGCCGGCCTTTTAAAAAGGAGTACGCTCTTTTCTTGAAGTTCCCTAAGTCGTATCGGTCCGGAAAAATCGCTGATGGTAATCGATTCCACAAGGAGGTCGTGCGAGGAAGAAAACATCTTCTAAATCGCACAGTGGTGGACCGCCAATCATCCAGATGGTGTGGATGGTATCGGGAGTTCTGCCGCGATGTGCGTTCGTGAAATTTGGCGGCTGGGATTAATCCGAACAATTCCTCAGAGCACTCCCCATGGTAGATGCGAAAGAAAATGCAAAGGGATGCAACATCTCTTCGCAGTGCCAATGAATCGAGCCGATCGGAAAGGGCTCGGTCGTCGACAATTCGAGCCGCTCTGCGTTGGATGCTGTCAAGTGGAAGGAGCTGGCACTGGGGAGCCCCAGCCCAGAGATGGGAACAGTATTCCATGTGAGGCCGAACTTGCGCCTTGTAAAGTAGCAGGCGGTGTGCCGGCATGAAATACTGTCCCGTTCTGCTGAGCACGCCAAGCTTTTTAGAGGCCAATTTGGCCTTCCCTTCCAAGTGACCACGAAACTGCACGTCACTCGATATGTCGACTCCGAGGATACCGATACTGGCTGAGGCAAGAAGGGGAGTGCCTTGAAACTGAGGAGATACGACAAAGGGGTTCTTTTTAGCGGTAAACGCGCAAACTTGTGTCTTCTGAGGATTAAATTGGACTAGATTTAGTCGCCCCCAATCCGAGACTTTGTTCAGCAAAGACTCGACTTCAGACACAAGTTTGTTCCGGTACTCAGCGACGTTTTCCCGAGAAATATTGGCACGGCCGGTGTATAGAGCATCACCAGTGCTGTCATCCGCATAGCAATGAATGTTACCAGTTAGCAACATATCATTGATATGCAGAAGAAACAGCGTTGGTGATAGCACACAGCCTTGTGGAATACCAGCGTTAATAGGCTTGTAGTCAGAGCATGCACCGTCTACAACGACCTTGATGCTCCGATCTGCAAGGAAGTTGGTGATCCAATTGCACAATTTCGCGGGAAGCCCATAGGAAGGGAGCTTCGAAAGAAGCGCTTTGTGCCAAACCTGTGTGCATTTTGGTCCAACTTGAGAGATAGGATAGTTGACCCGCAACATTTTTTATTGCGAATTTAAGGATTTTTATAGGAAGGGTCGTCGGAAAGGGCAGAACAATATCTGCCTGGCGAGCTAGTTATTAATATTATGTGATTTTTCTAATATCTCTGATATGAATCTCATTTGTTATCCGAAATAAAGATTTATTATTGTAATTATTTGGCGCTGTAGCCCAACGCCGGACTGGTTATTTGACGTCTGACGTCGACGACATGGTATTGTGAGAGCAGCGTGAGGCTACGTACGTGCTGAGAGGAGCCAACGTAGTTTATTCAGCTTGGTTAACTAACTGGCTTTCAGTAAGTTGTGCTGGTTCCGTAAACAAGATGGTAATATTGCCATCTATCCAAAGCTCTTAACTTTTTTCTGGCGTTTTCCATTAAACTACTATACTAGGTTGTTCTCCTCTATTATGGAGGCAGTTTACATACATAAACTTCACAAAAAAACTTATTTGTAACATACAAAAATTTGTTCCGTGCGGGATCCGAAACCGCGGCCGTCCATCTTATGATATCTAAAGGATGAAATGTGGTGATGGATTTCCTCATGCCGCCAATAATCACACTTTACATTGCTATTTAAAAAAAAAACTAATCAACACATTGATTATGAGCTGTGATGCTCCTGATAATTATTTTATCCTGGTGATCCTGATCAGGATATTAGGATAAAGTTATTTAATTATTGGATTGTCATCAGTCATTGATATGAGTGCAAATTTTAAAGTCAATTGGCCATCTAAAAGTCGGTGAATATTATTGAATAAAACTATTTTTACGGATTCGATAGAATCCGTAAAAATAGTTTTATTCAATGTGTAGTGTTCGCGTAAATATAAGAAGTCATTCGGTGAATATTACATTAAAATATTCCGTTACGTAGATAGATAGACAGATACAAGCGAAGCTAATAAAGGCGTGTTAAAAATATGCTATTCCAGCCGTAGAGCGGCCTATGACCAACGTGTCAGTGCGTAGGCCCTCTGACAGTCGGGATCGCTTCCCGTGGTCAGATGCACTGTGGTTCCTTTGTGCTCCTGCTACTATGTACACTTTACATGCGTTGCCACCACTTGAGCGTGGAGATGATGACGACTCGGCCTTCGCAACGCGGTTGAGACGTACGATCGCTGAAGCTCTGCAGGTGAGTTCCTTTTTTTTATTAAGGTAACGTATGAGAGTAATAAATGAGTCCACTCAATAGAAAGTGACTACTCCTAAACCCTTAACATATGTTGTCACTTCCGAGGACTAAGATGGAATGCTTCACTGGTTCTCTTACCTGTCAAGCAGGGACTAATAAATGAGTGCAATACTGTTAGGTGGTAGAAGTTGTACCTTGCAATCTCAATTAAGCGAGGAGAACTTAGATTGTAAAATCGAAAACATTTTAGGTTGACTGAACTTTTTTATTTATAACTGATTAAAAATGGAGAAAGCTCTTAATTTGACACTATGTTACTTAATGCACTTTGATGCTCATTCTGTTCAGAATTACTATTTATTTGTTAACCCTCGGTCTGGTATGCGTATAGTAACGCGATTGCGCATCTGCAATTCCCCTGGTGTTGCGGTTGTTCATGGGTGGCGGTAGTCACTTACCATCAGGTGAGCCGCATGCTCGTATGCCCCCTCTCCTATAAAAAAAAAATAAGGTCACGGATTCAAATTCCGGGTCGGACCAAAAATCAGTTATTGAATTTTGCTGTCAAGAAATTCTCAGTAGCAGCCTGGAGTCTGGAAGTTGGCGGTGGCCGTTGGTCCTGGACCTGATCTCTCTCCGTTCGTGTTGGATGCCTTCCCATTGGTGTATGAGAGTGACGGCATAGAGAGTGCACTTGTGCTTGCGCATACACTCGGGCACTATAATCCTGTCGTGTGTAGACGGCTAGCCTCCGTTGATATCGGCCGTAAGCGAAATTCGGTCTGGAGGCATTATTTTACGGCGATCGTTATTCCGTCTATATTCCGGCGATTAAAGCAAATCACCTATCTCTAATTCCTACGCATGTTATGTAGTGGACTTTTACCGTTTGAAGAGGAAGATGTCCGGAAAAATAAAAAGTATTTATGATATGGTCCTTCGAGCAGGATTGGAAAACATGCGATTTTTGTTTCACCTGAATACCGATTCAAACTTGTTTACTTATAACTAAAACTATTGTAATTGTTTTAACGTTGTGGTAAAGTTATATAATGGTAAACTCGATTTGTAGATCGAGGCAACGGAGTTTCGATGGGAGGATTTGCCCGGGGGGCGTCCGGCTGGACGGAGTAGGCAGGGAATTGCCAACGAAATGGCTCGCATGGCACGACAAGTACGTGAAGTGTTGCCAGCCGTGCCCGAGCGGGATGTATTACGCGACTTAGGTACGTACCTCTGCAAACAGAAACAGATTTTTTTTTTTATTCAATGTAGATTATAAATAATAGTTATTGAGAGTCACTCTAATGTTTAATTATTTATGTTTCATACAGCAAATGAAATCAGATCTTGATTTAACCGATTAAACTACCAGAGATAATCAGTTTGATTTTATTTTTAATGTCATAAAACTCTCCACAGTTAGTAGATAGTGGTTTTTGATTTTGCCAATTTTTTATTCGAGTATTTTTTATAGAATTAAGGTAACAAACAAATACAGTTCACCTGATGATAAATATTTACTAAATATGTAAATCCTGTAGCTGTAAGTCCTGAGTCGGGATCAAATCCAGTCAGAAAGAGAGGCTATGGTTGAGCGTGTGAGTCTCACACTACAGGCAGTCTCCGAATGGGGCGATGCCGATCTCGTGAGATTTAACGCCTCCAAAGCAAGCGTGTCTTTTCACCGATAAAAGGAGCCCGCTCACCTTGGCTCTTACTTTCCGAAATGTATCCGTGGAGTCCGCCTTCAGTTGTTAGGGGTTGAATTTTCTCCGAACCTCACCTATGGACGGTTCGTTGAGTCCAAAGCCAAAGCAGACTCAAGGAAACTTGGTGTCCTTGCAAGGGTGCGGCGGTACTTCACGTCGGGGCAGCTTTTTACCTTATATAAAGCGCAAGTCCGGTTGTGCATGAAGTACTTCTGTCACATATGGACTGGTGCTGCAAAATGCTACCTGGCAGCATTGGACTCAGTGGAGAGACGTGCTAAGAGACTCATTGGTGACCTTGATTTGGTTGAAACCAATCTTGTCAGCCTCAAGCACAGGCACAGAGTAGCCAGTGTGCGCAGGAATTACACGCTTTAATTCCTTCATCTCCTTTCCACCATCGGACAACCAGGCAGTCGGCGGGTCTTCATCCCTTTGTTGTCGATATTCCACGCATTAGAACCAAACGGTTTGCTTCGTCTTTTGTAATGCGTACAGCAAAGGAGTGGAATAATTTGCCGGCGTCTATCTCCGTCCGAATACAATCTGAGCGTCTTCAAGGCAAGAGTGAATAGGCTTTTGTTACACTAAGACAGTGCGATTTACCATCTAAGGTTACATCACAACTTACCACCAGGTGGGGTTGTGGTGGGAGTGTGGCATTGGCTTATAATAAGTAAAAAAAAATTAAGAATAAAAATGCAGATATGTTCTCTCTCACCCCAGAGGACTAAGATGGAATGCCTTGTATCCAGTAAAAACGGTCTCCAGTTCTCTTTACACGAAACATAGAAGTATTAGGCTGCTCTTTCACACTGGTATTCTGTGAGTGTGGCCTTTCCCTAATCGAGCCTACACTTTGGTGCTACAACTATAATATAGCTGGAGCATGTCTCTACCATAAATTATTTGAGCTGAAAATTCGAGTATTTTTTATAGTAATCTCATATAAATTTCAAAGTAATTCAGTAATAATAGTTGAAGTAGTCATATTTTTAAAGCATCCAATTATGTTGTTTTATTATATATTTATTAAAATTGTTAAGACACAAGTGACGGAATAGAATAGAAAATAATTTAAAATTAAAAATTTTGTACAGCCGACTTCAATATAAGTTATTAAGAATAACTCAAATAACTCAAAAACTATTGGTCTGACCTTGACCAAATTCATATGGGACCACACGAGAAGTATCAGCTTTCATATAAAAAGGAATCATCGAAATCGGTCCACCCAGTAAAAAGTTATGAGGTAACAAACATAAAAATAAACATACGCATCGAATTGAGTACCGTCTCCTTTTTGGAAGTCGGCAGTAAAATTATCAGTTATAAATTACATGTAATTGTTATTGAAAGTACTTTTTCTAATTTTACCACTGGTTCGGAAATAACCTCTGTCCGGGGAAGAACCAGCAAGAAACACAGCAAGACTTTCTGTTTCAAAGTAAAATTATACAATAAAATACAGGTTGTACAAACTACGTACTAAACTACGTACTAAACGAAACAGTAATAACAATTTTTTAGTTACGTTGAAACATGATTTAAGATTGGAAGACATAATCAATTTATTATGTTTCCTTACTAGCGAGAACACGCAGCGTGGATGTGACGATAACGAACTTCCTGGAGGGCATCATTCCGTACAGTCCGGAGCCCCAGGCGGCAGCAGAGCCCCTGGCGGGTCCCTCGCACGCGCCCAAGTACGTGACGCCCGTTCCTACGGGAGTCTTCCCCAAGAGCGCCAAGGAACGACAACTCAGCTTCCAGGAGCGGAAAGAACAAATGATAGCCGAAGCGAGGAAACGGTACATCGAGAAACACGGACTCAACGTCGCTATTCATTAGGCGACCTTTGATTCGAAATATTGTATATTGATACTTCTAGACCGTGATAAAACAATTAAAATTGTGATAGAAGTTATTTGCATTTTAATTTCTCCGTAAACATTTTTAACTAAGGAAGAACTTTAAAAGCGATTTGTTTTCAAAATCAAAACTTGAACTCTGCCAAATTAATATTATTATTTAGAGAATAAAAAGATCACACCGATTCAAATCTTTACAATGCGAAATATAATTACGTAAAATTTTATAACATTACTTTTGATAATCAATTTAAAAGTTGCCATTACTGTAATTATAACGAATACCGCATTGAAAATAATTTCATATAAATAACGCGGCCTTTTCAAAATGTTTTATTATTTCTGTTTTATTCAATTTACGTATTTATACATAAAATGATAGTAAGATAGGTAGTAATAATGGATCTTTCAAAAAAAAAAAAAGAATTTTAGCTTATTTTTCGCTAATTTGAACGATATTTAGCATTTGTTTTAGCATGGTAGAAAGTAGAAAAGTTAAAGAGAATTATAAATTAGAGGCCAAAAGTCAGAGTAGTATATCATTTTTCTAGTTTTGTGCGAAAGGTTAGTAAATATTATGTGATTGTAATAAAATTATATGTAATTATTACAATGTTGAGATCTTTCTGATTCCCTTATACATTTGCCACTGAACATTTATTTATCGGCAATTCAGTAGACAGTTTTACCTACAAAAATATACGTTGGTTGTTATTCCGATATTCACGTCTGAAGGTTTTAAAACAATATGTGTTTATAATTTAACAATGTGAAATTGTTTTTATTTAAAGATTTCTAAAACAGTCAATTTATCGTAGAATTGTAAGTTACATTTTCTCAATTAAAAACTGTGAATTATGTAATATGTTTAAAAGTTATTGGAGTGCCTAAATTAATATTAGTAAAATGCTTTCCTCACCACTCAAATAAAAATTTAAATTGCTAAATATATTTCTATAAAACATAATATTATGTTGTAATTTTTAATCAGTCTATACTTTGTTAAACGTACGCTTTAGAAATTTTGTTTTTGTTTCTTTGTGTTATTCTAAAAAAAAAAAATATTTTTAATAAGGAAACGTAAAAAACAAGTGTATTTTGTAGTTCATTATATTAATTATAGTTTTCAATTCAGTTTAGAATTGTATAATTTGAAGTAAAGCATAGCGGGCACCGCCATAATATGTACATTATGATGGGGCAGAAAACATCCCTTATGTTGCTCTAGTGCAAACAGAGCAACACGGGCCACCGGCGGACCGGAGGGAAGTAGTAGGCGTTCTCCTCTGTCGAAGTATAAGTCCACGCGGTCCACAAATATCGCTGTCACCGAGTTATAATGTATCTATGTGTGTGTGTGTGTGTGTGTGAAGTTTATAGTTTATTGTTTTAATTGTTATGTGTGAGTTTCTTAGTAACAGACGATTGTTTTTGTGTGCGTAGATTTCTCACCGCAAAAAACGCCAGGCAGTTCTGTATCCGGGAAAAACGCTATGGCTCCCCTCCGGTCCGCCGGTGGCCCGTGTTGCTCTATGAGTGCAAACCCGACCGACGTGTTCATTTAATATTCATTATTGAAGAACTTTATAAAAATAATTTGTAATCCCTCTTCTATTTTGGTGGTACATCAAGAAGTAAAAATGGTAGTTGTCTGTACTAACTAAATAAAAATGGAGTTTTGATTTCCTATGGCAACACGAAGCAAATGCTTAGTAATAAAAATATATTTTTTAATAATTATAATTATCATTCTTAAATTTGAATGTACGGTCGTAAAATAAAGATAGCAATTATTTTATAGTACGGTGTTGAACCTCCAACTAAATGTTCGGTCTGTTGGGGGCTAAGACCTCTATATATATATTACTAGACTATTACGGTACTATAAGTAGCGGCACGAAAGTCTAGCGGTGAGCGTTATTGCGCATAAGTCGTGCTGATGGACACGTGTGTATATTTCGCACGCACTGATTGGCTCCAGTCGCATTCGTGCAGTTCAATTCGTGCGCGTCCCTTCCACGTTTCGTTTAGCGCTAGACTTACGTGCCGCGACTTATACACTAATACATTGCGCACTAAGTTACGGTCAATTCTCAGTAATTTTTTAGTCAAAGAGGACTAGAAGAATAGTTCTTTATTGTGTAAAGCGCGAACGTGCTTTTCGACAATCTAACACAATTGTTTAATATGATTAAGAAAACGCTGTCATTATTTATATGTGTTCTTTGACATCGTGATTTGAAGTTTCTTTCAAATAAGTATGTAATTATATTGCCTAAAAACAGTAACTGTCGTAAATGAAAATTAAACTTCATGGCATATTTACCATGGCACTTATTTCCCGCGCCTTTTTGGTTGGGGTTATAGCATCTACAAACATTATCGATACAGGTTCTATGTCTATCATTTGTTAAGTCCATATAGGAGATTTATATTTTTATATAGTGTTTAGAAAGATTTGTTGATTGTATATTTAAGTATAGTGTATAGGGGCTTCCCTAGCGTAGATCTCTTTTGGAATATATATATTCCGATATAAATATTAATTTTCGTAAATATTTTGTTTAAATTTTATTCTATTTGATACAATAAATTTAAAATTGTTCATATTGTACAGATAAGTGTTCTTTATGATCAATTTTATGTTTTAATAAAATTATTTTAATACAATATGCTAAGTTCGTTTAAATTTAATAATATTTAGGTGTTTTCAAACAATTGCTAACAAATATTTTTATATTTTGTCATTAATATTAAAATGTAATTGTATTAAGTCACTTTTAAAAGCATTTCTTATCGTCCATTGTCTTTATATTATAAAAACTGAAGGACATTAACTGATTAGACACAAAAAACTTGTTGCCAGTAGTGAGCATTTTTAGATTTTAAAATAAATCTATTTCAGTTGTAGGGATAAACTAGCCCGTGTAAAATAAAAATAAAAGGAATAAAAGCTATATTGGCTTTAATTGTCAAATGCTGTCAAATCACTTTCTTCGTGCAAGATGATAGATTATTCCCATCTAATACATATTTACTGAAATATATACAAATAGCGGCACGAAAGTCTAGCAGTGACCGTTATTGCGCATAAGTCGAAAATAAGGTATCATGGAGTAGTAAGCGGGTCGCGAGACGTATCGTCCGCACACGTTGATTGGCTCGTGCGTATCGTGCGCTGATTGACTGTCCAGTCGCATTTGTGGGCGACAGTATCCATGCGCAGCTATCCCCTCCACGTTTCGGTCAGCGCTAGACTTACGTGCCTCGACTTGTATCCATGAAGCAAATACAAAGAGGAGACGTTGTAATTAAATTTCACTATGTAACAACGCGTGACAATTTGCGGGGTGAGGGGATGCAAAGCCCCGCCCACTACACTATCTACATCTACCGATAAATAGTAAAACTACTCGAATCTTTCCATATCGATGTTGCAATGTAGCTTAGCTACCTTGACGGTAGATGGCGGCATGTCCACAAATGTTATAAACTTTAAAAATAACACTTTGGCGGTTAAAATTTCTTTATGTCTGAATGCAAATAAATTTCAGCACCTTCGTATGATTATTTTATCATTACTGAGCTCTACGTAACTTTATATTTTTAGTTCACAGGACACAAAATGTCGCCATCTAGTGTGGAATATATTTAAATTATATTTGAAAGCCGACGCAAAGAGATTTTTCTAGAACTATTTTAATAAATTAGGTGTAAAATTACTTACAAATGAAATGTGATGCCATCCATAGCATCGGAGCGTCTATCTCATGAAGCAAATACATTCAAACAAAGAAATTTTAATCGCCAATATAATATTTTCGTAGTTTTCATAATAATCTTGGGAACAGGCCGCCATCTATCGTCAAGTAAACCTCATAAAAAATAACAAAAAGACAGGGCCGCCATTATAATTCAATTATTTTACCCAGTAACCCAACATTCAATATTAAAATGAAGGAAATTGTACTTGGCTGATTTTTACGAAATGTTTAAGTTATATTTAAGTGACATTCTATATGCAAAGAATCACTTAAATACAATTTAAATATGTTTATCATTTCGTGAAAGTCAACCAAGAAATATTTATTTTATCCATAAAATAAAGTCTCTTTGAAACTGAATATTCTATGTTCAATATTAAGTAGGATATTTAATTTGGAACTAAATATCCTACTTATCTCACTAATATTATAAAGGCGAAATTTTGTGTGCTCTTTCTGTCTCCTTGAGCTTATTCCACACTAAGTATGTGTAATTTCTTCACGCAGAAACGGCTGGATTATTATTTATGTGTGGGTTATACTACTTAATATCTCTGAGGGAGAACAAATAATAGACAAATTATTATAATTAATATAATTTTATTTACAAATATTACAAAGAACATTAAATTGTATTTAAGTGATTCTTTGCATATATAATGGCACTTAAATATAACTTAAACATTTCGTAAAAATCAGCCTAAGTACAATTTCCTGCATTTAATATTAAAAGTTGGATTACTGGGAAAAATAATTGAATTCTAATTAGGGCCCTGTCTTTTTGTCATTTTTATGAGGTTTACTTGACGAGAATACGGCCTGTTCTCAAAATGATTATAAACTATAAAAATGATATTTTGCGATTAAAATTTCTTTATGTCTGAATGCAAATCAAATTTCAGCACCTTCGTATGATTATTTTACCAATACTGAGCTCTAACTTTACATTTTTAGTTCACATGACACAAAGTGTCGCCATCTAGTGTCGAATATATTTAATTATATTTGAAAGCCGACGCAAAGAGATTGTTCTAGAACTATTTTAATAAATTAGGTGTAAAAATATTTACAAATGAAATGTGATGCCATCCATAACATCAGAGCGTCTATCTGAGTAGTTTTTACACAATAAAACAACACTTCATCCTTTTCTTCTTAATACTACGAAAATACACCGATTTGCGATTTTTTCAACATATAAGCGCACAGGACGAATGCTGAGAGTATACTAACTAAAGCCACGCCCACTATGATGACGTCAGGACCTACTTAGAATCACAGTGCACAGTTGCTTATGCCGTCTCCCCTTTGTATTAGCTTCATGCTTGTATCAATGTTTTGGTAAAAACATTTCTCTTCCTATTCTACGGCTTTTTACGTCTAATAAAGAAGGTTTAAGTTTGTGATTTGAGAATAGTTAGTTTTAAATGAATAAAGATTTTTTAAAAGAAATATTATTTTTATTTTAAACAGCTTTTTTATTTAGTATTGTGCGCAACATTTGTCTAGTGTGAGCAATATTAGCGTATTTCTCCATAAAAATAGATAACTATATTTCCAACGAAATTCGCTTACAGTTTTGAGCGGTTTTCAAAGATTATTGGCGCTATTAACATACTTACTCTACTACACATACTCCCTTTAACCACTCCAAGTACGAATAAAATGCTTGTGGTACAATAGTCAAACATACGGCTGAGTTTGCTTTCCGAACCCTTTACAATAATACTGCTGACGCTTTAAAAAATCGAATATAATATTTAAAAAATATGATGAATAATTTTTCAAGAATTCAAAAAAATAAAACGTATTGAGTTTCAAATACATAAGTGAATGAATGTCATGTCATCACGAAATGTTAACAATAGACAGGGCAAGATTTCAATTTTTTCAATCAATCTTTGATTTAGTTGGTTCATTGCTTTGAAATGTTCCAAAAATATTTTTGCCATAATAGCCATGCTTGGCAAGCGGGTTGGCAACCGCAGTTTTTTTATTATAGTCGTTTTTAAAAAGACGCTGATGCCCATCTCCTGATTTGCTTCCCTTTGTCCCCTTTTACGACAACCATGGGATGTGATATGGGGTAGTGGATATTTTTGCACCACCACTACTCGGTATGATATTAATGTACCGCAGTAGAATTATTATTATTATAAGTAAATCAAATGGCTTAACTTAATCTGAGCAGTGTCCAAGGTTAGTACACTTGTTATGTTATGTACATAAGGCCTGTCAAACACTCAGTTGACCGACGTTGACCGGGCTCGGAGTGATGTAGGTATCTTCTGGCCAAATATGTCCACTTCCACAGGTCGGGTATGGAAAAGTGTCTTAGTATTTGAAGAGAATTTAGATTATGAAATACAGTCCGATGACAGACAGGCGGACGGTCAGCGGAGGCTTAGTAATAGCGTCCCGTTGGTTACCCTTTAGGTACGGAACCCTAAAAATGGGATATTCCTAGTGTTTTTACCAAGTAGTCTTTACTAGTAAGACTAAGTACTAGAAATTATTTATTTAATTAATTATTTTACCAAGTAGAACTCACTGGTAAGACCACTAGGGTAGAAAAAACTCAGTAGTCCAGTAGAATATTTTCATCAGCCTAATTAAACTGATCTGATCTAAATTACTGATTAAAAATCCGATATTATCTGGGGGCACGGCAGTGCCCCCGCCAAGACGAGCAATAAAGCGGCACGGCCGTACCATCCTTTTCTCGAAGCAGTTCAGGCCATTTTCGACCCCCTATAAGTTCGCTGTGGATAAAACTAGAATCCTGAATTTTTAGTTACCAAGCAGGCATTATATAAACACGGTATATTTCAAGTTACAT